TGGTGGTTAAAGCGCTGGACACTCCCATATGGTTGACCACAGTTCAAGTACCAGACGTGGTGGCTTGCTTTCTCACTTTCCCTCTCTCTCTGGTCAAATTAAAATAAATGAATGAATAAATAAAATTAAATAAATAATTCTTTAAGGAAAAAAAAGGCTGAGTAATTTTCCACCATATGTTGTATATACCATATTTTGTTTATCCATTCATTCATTGAAGGAGACTTGGGTTGCTTCCATCTTATGCTCTTGTGAATAATGCTGCTATGATCATGGGTGCATAAATCTCTGAGATCCTGCTTCCAATTTTGGGGGTCATATACCCAAAAATGAAATTGCTGGATATATGGTCATCTATTTTTAATTTTTTTGAGGAACTGCCACACTATTTTTTTTTTTACTTTTTTTTTAAGAGGTTTTTGCTATAGGGTGTGTGCGCTCCCCAGACAGACAGAGACAGAGAGACAGAAAGCGAGAAATCACCCCCAGGGGTGATGGCCATGCTGCAATCCCTTCTCCTCCGTTCTCTTCTCGGGATCTTGGGCATGCACGCACACGCACACGCACCAGGCGTGAGTTTTAAGCCACTGGGTCCAGGACATGAACGACGGTTGACTATGTGGGAGTCCAGCGACACAGCCATTATGCCAACTGCTGGTCCCCTGCCACACTATTTTCATAGCAGCTGCACCTTTTTATATTCCCACCAACAGAGCACAAATGTACTAATTTCTCCACATCCTCACTAACATTTGTGATTTTCTGAAGTTTTGGTAGTAGCTATCCAAGATGGAATATCATTTTGGTTCTGATTTACATTTCTCTAATTAGTGATGTTGGGAATCTTTTCATGTGCTTGTTGATCATTTGTCTATTCTTTTTTGAGAAATGTCTAATAATGCCCTTTGTCTATTTTTTTCTTTCATTGTTGTTGAGTTGCATAAGTTTTTCTTCTTTTTTTTTTTTTGGAGAGATTTTTGCTATAGGGCGCGTGCACTCGCCACACAGACAGAGAGAGACATAGAGACAGAAAGCGAAAAATCACCCCCCGGGGGGATGGTCACGCCGCAATCCCTTCTCCTCCATTCTCCTCTCAGGATCTTGGGCACACACGCACAAGCGCCCGGCGTGAGTTTTAAGCCACTGGGTCCAAGACGCGAACCGCGGTCGACTACGTGGGAGTCCAGCGACATAGCCATTACGCTAATTGCTGGTTCCCTCTTCTTTCTTTCTTTTCTTTTTTTCTTTTTTTAATGATCAGAAGGTGTATGTGCTCGCTAGAGACAGAGACAGAGTAAAAAGAAGAAAGTATCCCCCAATGGGGTGTGGTCGTGCCACAATCTCTTCTCCATTTCTCCATCCTGTTGGGATTTTGGTCATGTGCACAAATATGCACTCATGTTTTACAAGCTACTGGAGCAGTATTCAATAGCCATGGCCATCAGCCATGTGGGATCCTGTTCCCTTAACCACAAGGCTATGGCTGGCTGAGTTGCTATAATTCTTTGTGTATTCTAGAAATTAACCCCTTATCAGATCCATGACTTATAAATACCAGAGGATCTTCAAAAAGTTCATGAAAATATAGATCATAAAAAAACTGTATGAATTTCAATTTTTTGCTTAAAATTAAACTTGTAATTTAATTTTACAAGTTGGGACCAGCATAATGGCTACATTGCTAGACTCCCATGTAGTCGACTGTGGTTCGAGTCCCAGACCTGGTGGCTTAAACTCAAACCGGGCGCGTGTGCGTGTGTGACCAAGATCCCAAGAGGAGAATGGAGAAGAGATTGTGGCGTGGCCATCTCCCCTTGGGGGGTGATTTCTCACTTTCTGTCTCTGTCTTTCTGGTGAGCATATGTGCCCTATAGCAAAAACCTCTCTCAAAAAAATTAGATTTGTATTTTAATTCAATTTTTCCACAAAGTTTTTTTTTTTTTTGAGAGATTTTTGCTATAGGCCTTGTGAGCTCACAGAGACACACAAAGAGACAGAGAGATGGAAAATGAGAAATCATGCCCCTCACCCCGGAGAGGATGGCCACATCACAATCCCTTCTCCATTTTCCTCTCAAGAATTTAGGCATGCTCATGCACACACACCTGGCATTAGTTTCAAGCTGCTGGGTCCATGGGCTTGAACTACAGTTAACCAAGCGGGCATCTAGCACCTTAACCACTACATCACCTGCTGGCTCCTCCACAAACATTTTCAAGTACCTGCATATTTCCTCTCATTCTGTGGGCTGCTTTTTACTTTTTCGATTGTGTCCTTTCACGCACAGACAAGACTGTCTTTTCCTTTCTTGAAAAACAATCACACTCTTGTCAAAAGTCTCCTGACCAGGCCAGCCCATGGCCTGGTGGTTAAGGTAGGCTGAATCGCATATGGTTGACTGTGTAGTTCAAGTCCTGGGTCTGCTGGTTTGAAAAACACACCAGATGTGTGTATGTGTGGGCCCAAAATCTAAAAGGAGGTAGAAGTGGAAGAGAAGGAATTGAGTTATGACCATGTGCTTTTGTTTTTCCCTCTCTCTGCCTCTCTTTGGAGAGCGTAGAGCCCTCTTGCCAGCGGGGGGAAAAAACAGTCTGACCATATATGGAAGGTTTTGTGCCACCAACTTTTGTGGGTGGTGGTACAGAAATGACATGGACTCCAACTTAAGGAAGCTACAGTTGAGTTAAATATTCAGATTTCATTTCAAGTGGCACTTTTAGAATGCTGGCTGTGTGCTCAGTAGCAAATTTTCCTTTTATTTTATTTTTTTAGAAAGATTTTTGCTATAGGGTGTGCACTTGCCAGAGACAGAAAGCTAGCAATCATTCCCCCAAGGTGGGTGGCCAAACCACAATCACGTCTCTGTTCTCCTCTCGGGATTTTGGGCACCCAGGCAAAGGCACCCAGTCTGAGTTCGAAGTCACTGAGCCCCGAATGCAAAACAGCAGTTGATTACGTGGGATTCCAGCAATGACACCATGTACACCATCTACTAGTCCTCAGAATTTTGCCTTAAAAAAAAAAAAAAGTATTTATTGAATTTTATTGGTACTTTAAAATTCGACCAGAGACAGACAGGGAAGGTGAGAAAGCAAGCCACCAGGTCAGGGACTCAAACCACAGTCCTGGGAGTCCAGAGTCTTAATCACCACACCACTTGATGACCCAGCACTTTGCCTCTTAAGTATCCTATTCAACCAATGAGATAGGTAGGGTGATCCTTCCCTTTTATTTTATTTTTTGCTATAGGGCAGAGGTGCTTGCTGGAGAGATACGGAGAGAGGAAAAGTGAGAAATAATTCAAGAGGGATGGCGACTGCTGCAATCCCTTCTTTATTCTCTTCCTGGGATTTTGGGCAAGAAGGCATAATGGCCCAGCATGATTTTCAAGCAGCCAGATCAGAGCCCTGTGAATCTAGCGCTTTAAACACCGCGACCCCTAGGGATGATACCCCTTTAACAGAGGGGTAAACTTAGTCCCCTGGAAAGACCGATGGCTCGTGCCGTTACACGCAAAGACTCAGGATTTGAACGCAAAAGTTCCAGGCTCTGTGTCATGTCATGCTATTTAGGGTAAGATGTTCTCATCTTTAAAACGTGGGCAGAAGTGCAATGAGATGGTCTCTGTGGAGCACCCTTACAGATGTAGGATCCTTTGCACTAAGAGGTTGCTAAAAGCCAAGGACCGCGCGCGAGGTGTGGACACTAAGCACTACTGTAGAGCAAAGCACAGCGCGGCTCCCGGACACCACTCCCAGCCCGGAAGGACAGAGTCCTAAAGCAGGAGCCCCACCCCATCGGGCGGACCCCAAGTCCATACCCGGAACCTGGGCGCGGCTGGGCCGTGCTACTGGTGCGGGTGGGAGACGAGCAAGAGAAAATGGCCTGAAACGAGATTCTCCTTGTAATCCTACAAAATCTTTCCGGAGAGAGACTCGAGGGTTCCACGACGCCTCCAGCATTAGCTCCCTTGCCCATCTCGCGTTTCTTCACCTCCCGCGGAGTTATTTCTTCCCCTCTGCCCCTACACTGAATTTCCTTTTGGTACGCCCCCACCCTGACTTGGAGAGGCGAGGCAGGCGCCCGCGTGGCCACTGCG